GTGGTATAACAGCACTCGAACTGCCAGTGATATCAATAGTATTACTTGTAGTACGAGTAAAACGTTATCATGTTCGTGTTCTCTTTACACTTCATGCATATGCCTGAACCTGGCTCACAGAGAAGAGATGGTCGAGGCTGGTACTCTCTTGATCGACTATCGCGACCAAGAGAAAATCATATCAGGATACAGAAAGGGCGCGATTGGAGTACGAAGGATTGAAACCACTAGAAACAACTGAAAGAACCCGATTATGGGTAAATAGAGGTAACCAAGATAATTCCTCTTGCATTAGTGTTAATCACTTCATCAGATTTTCTTCAAACTACACCCTCTTGATTTTCTCAGTGTTCCTCCAAATTTTGAAATTTCCTTCCTCATCTTCTTCAATACATTGGTAAATACAATGAAGCATTTTCAAATAATCTCACATTTACATAGGCAGTGCACGAGTAAACACTTAAAAATAATCAATTACTGACAGACGTGGTAAAACTAATGGAAAAGCAAAAACGAAACGGCGAAACTGGTAGAACCAGAGCAGAGAAGCAGTTCGTCAAGGCCGCGCAGCGCGTAAAGGTACGAAAGTATCTAAATTCACTTTGAAACTTTCTCTGAATCCGCGAACGAGGAAAAACGACAGCACAGCGTAAAACTTAATTTGAAAAGTCATATGACAAACTGACTTTCTGAGCAACTCAGAATGTCAAACGAGTGGAAAAATGCTGATATGCAGGCTTCAGCAAACATCGCTTGCAGAGATATAAACAGATGAAAGAAGCGGCAGATTGACAAAAACAAAAATCGATTTCTACTAAACCGATCATCAGGCTAACCTTCGATTTCTTGCAAAATAAGAACTGGTCAGAAAATCGAGAGCAATCGAAAAGTTAAAAAAAAACAAGAAAAATTAAGCGAAATTAACAAAAGCACGATAGCTTTTGATAAAAGTTGATTGAGCATTCATGACCTTCGGTGAAAAATGTACAAACAAGGTGCAAGTGGTACTGAGCCAGTGATTAATCGACGAGACCGTTACAGATTCTGAACGAATTCTATTTGCTGCCCGCTGTGAGTATGTACCTCCATCGTCACGCAGCAAGGAAAAAAGGTGATGAAGCAGTCACATTCTTGCCACTTCATCTCGCTCGCTTCAGTAATCCATGCTACTACTCCCTTGTCCTGCATCAAAAAAGGTAGGAAGGGAAAGTATAGAAACTGCTTCAAATATCAGATTATATTCTGAGCAGCCGACAGCTACCAAAGCTTATACTATTTGTCAATCTGGAATGGCACTCTCCGTAATGGAGACCCGCATATTTTAGAAGTATTTTATTATGAAGAAACAACAATTATGTTCACTACTTTGCCACAAAAAACTTTTATAATTATTAATAACATTGATAACTCCGCCACGGCCGGTCCCAAGCCCGGATGAGAAAGGAGGAGGGTTGGAGACCGTGGCAAGTCTC